GTTTATAGATGTCTAGTGATATGTATTGACTAAGTTTTCAGTTATGTCTATTTGTTTGTATTTACTTGTAATGATATCCATGAACATCTATTGATATCACTAAGCATCTAGTGATATCAATAGATTTTTTCTATTGATTTCTATTGATGTCTTCCACTAGGGATGAGACGTTGCCAATTTAAGGGATTCAATTTGATTACCATTGTTTCTGACGGAAAATTTTATTGTTTGCGTTTTTCAAGATTAAGTTTTAATCCATTGTTCAAGAACCAACCCTCCATGTCATGAACCACATTTTCAAGAGAAGATAGCATTTCAGAAGTACTATTATTTTTTATCAAGGCTGTTGTATCATCTGCAAAAAGAATTAGTTCCTGATCAATAGCTTTAGTGAGGCCATTAATGTAAATTAGAAAGAATAGAGGACCTAAGATTGAACCTTGGGGCACACCTGCCGATAGGTTTTCCCATGGCGAATAGTGCTTGATCTTATCCAGTGTTATTACAGTTCTTTGTTTTCTATTAGAAAGGTAAGAACTCAATAGAGAGTGACAACTTCCCCTAATACCATAATCACTCAGCTTGAGCTGAAGGACTAAGTGATCAACACAGTCAAAAGCTTTGGACAGGTCACAGAAAACACCAGCTGTAGCCTGAGACCCGTCCAAAGCCTGGGTAACCTCATTTATAAACTGTGTTAGTGCAGAACCTGTGCTTAAATTTTTCCTGAATTGTTTGTTATAAAATAGATGATTGCTTTCAAAATAACTAACCAATCTCAAATTTATGACCTTCTCAAATATTTTAGAAAAATTACTCAATACAGAAATTGAACGGTAATTGTTAATATCCGATTTTAGGCCCTTTTTAAATATTGGTGAGATTTGGGAAAGTTTTAGTTTCCATGTAAAAAATGGGAAAAATTCCATGTATTAAACACTGGTTAATAATTTGAGATAAAGGTTCGGCAATGATATTAACAGTGGCTTTTATCAATTTAATTGGGATCTCATCCCAGCCAACGGATGATTTGTTTTTTACTGACAGAACAATCTTTTTGATTTCCTCCACATTAGTTAGCTTGAGGCTGCACAAGGATATCCCATTATCATTACAGATATGTTTCACTAAAGCATGGACTCCATTGACAGTAGCCTTTTGTACATTTAAGTTACTTACTGTATTCGAAAAAAAAATTGTTAAAAACTTTAGCAATACTTCCAGGATTACCAGGCTCATGACCATTTGTATCTTTCAAAACTATTCTTTCTTTTGGTTTTTGGTTTGTATTGCCAAGCTCTTGATTTACAATTTGCCAAGCTGCCTTAGTTTTCTTTTCTGGTGTTTATATAAAATTGCTATTCGCTAGTAATTTTGCTTTTTTTACAACTTTATATTAAATATGTTTTTATAATGCTTAACATATGTAATAAACTGTTGGTCATTACTGAGCTTGGCTTGCATGTGCAATTGTCGTTTTGTTTTACTTGAAATTTTTATACCTTGAGTAATCCAGTTTACAGAGAAAGACTTGGTTTTAGAATTATTATTATTATTTTTAAGAAACTTTGGAGGAAATATAGAATTAAAAGTCAAAAGAAAATCACTTAAAAAGTTACTAAAGTTTTCATTTGGGTTCAGGACTGGATCAAATGTAAAATTAATATTTTGGTTTAAATATGTACAAAATTCATCTATTTTTCTATTTGAAATTATTCTTTTGGTAGCCTATAGGAACCTGTATAATTATTATTATTACCAGTAGTCAATATATTCTTATATTGCCCAGGGAGGCTCAGGAATATGGCGTTATGGTCAGATAACCCTAAATCATTATTCAATTTGTGGTCTACTTTATACATTTTTTTTTAAATCATGTTATCTATACAAGTAAATGAATTGGCAGTTATTCTAGTTGGCTCATTAAACTGCAAACAGAAACCATTACATTCGACAATTTCCTTAAACCTACTTGTGATTGCATCATCCTTTAAAATGTTAATATTAAAATCCCCCGTTATAAAAGCATTTTTCCTTTTGGCTTTTTTTTTTTTGTAAACTAACAAGTAGCTTTTCAAGTTTGTCCAAAAACAATTTACTTGAATTATAATTTGGCACTGTATAAATGGAAAAAATACTGAATTGAAATCTACAAGTTCGATAGCAGAACATTCAAAAATAAAATCTTCATTTAAATAAGAAAACTCCTTTACAGTTAAGTATTTACAATTATTATCAACTAATATACATGAACCACCCCTTAGGCCACTATTTCTGACATAAGAGTCAGCCCTTCTAAAATTATCTATTGTATTGAGTAAATAAATAGAATCATTATCCAACCAAAGTTCATTTAATGACATGACTTTAATATTTAACAAGCTGCTATACCCGTGCTTTGCAACGGGAAGAAAATGTGACCTAGAGCGCTATTAAAGTCATTCTGATGTGTGTTTTAAAATACGGCAACTCCATGATTTAGTTTGAAAATGTATTATATTAAAAAGTGTAAACCTACTTACTTTCAAACACCTACTTTTTATGTTAATAGATCCAAAAGAATATGACAACATACCTTAGTGTAGCAACAGCTTCAATTGCTTCATATTTATGCTTCACGAATGACATGTTTTACCATAATTCTTCAACTTTAGTCAAGCCTCTTTACATGTAGCTTACAATATAAATTACAAAATGAAACTTTTGAGCAATATTTTACAAAACGTATACAACCTTTCTTTAAAACCAAACATAACCCTACTAAATCTACATTAAGCATCACAAACATCTTTTTCGAGTAAATAAATAAACACCAGTTCATTGTACTGACCAGCTGTTTCATTAACTAAATTAAATTAAATCATGTAAACTTTGGAAGCATGCCAGGTGTAGCCCTTTGAAAATCAGCCTGTGGGGCAGCGCCCTTAGGAAATTCGTCCATATCAATACTTTTCGGCAAATCTACACACTCTAAGCTTCATTTTGATGTGAAATATGCCTATATTTTTATTTGGTAAATGGCCTTAACCGTTTACATAAAATTTGATTGTATCACTTTAATAATATAATAGATTTGGACTGTGAAAAAAATAAATTGAGCTCTGATATTTTAGTAGAATTTAACCCTTGACAAATTGTAGTGCATTACTAAATTAAATTTACTGTAAGTATCACTGTTTTTTAATGAATCTGAGCTAATACTACTCTGAACTTTTACACTATTGAGATTGTAAAATTTGTCTAGAACTAGTTTAGCAGGCATTTGGTATTTGTCAGGATGTCTGAGAAATAATGTCAGGAATATTGTCAGGAAATAATGAGAAACTAACCCTAAAATAATAGAAACAAATTGTAAATAAAACACGACATCTACAGAAAACCAGACAGAACTAACAATAAAAGTGGCTTCAGCTGTTCCATAAGGATGGTAAGGTATCTGCAATCCTAAAATGCTATGGGAAGGTATGGAAACAGGTTCGCGACGTAGGAAATGGTGAAGGAAGTAGTCAATGCAAGCTATCCTGAGTGCGGAACTGTTTATGACGATTAGATTAAAGTATCTGCAATTCTATAATGCTATGGGAAGGTAAGGAAACAGAGGTCCGCGACATAGGAAGTGGTGAAGGAAGTAGTAAAGGCGAGTAGTCCGGAGTGTGGGAACTGTTTATGACGATTAGATTAAGGTATCTACAATCCTAAAATGCTATGGGAAGGGAGGGAAACAGGTCTGCGACGTAGGAAATGGTGAAGGAAGTAGTAAAGGTGAGTAGTCCGGAGTGTGGGAACTGTTTATGACGATTAGATTAAGGTATCCACAATCCTAAAATGTATGTGAAGAAGAAGAAGAATGGAAGAGGTGAAGGAAGTAAAGGCGAGCAGTGGGGAGTCTGGGAACTGGAAACCAATTAATTGTAACAGTTAGATTTATGTATCTGAAATTGAAATACTGAAATGCTATGAGAAGGGATGGAAACATGCCCAAGACAAAGGAAATGGTGAAAGAAGTAGGCCTGGTAAATGCTAGCAGTGCAGAGTGTGGGAAATGTTTGTGGCAACTAGATGTATTTAAAATACTAAAATGCTATGGAAAGAGATGAAAACAGGTACACGACGTAGGAAGTAGTTAAGTTTAGCATCGCAGAGTGTGGGAACCGTTTGTGGCTGTTAGATTAATGTACCTGTAATACTTAAATGCTAAGAGAAGGGAAGGTAATAGGTCCATGACGTAGGAAACGGTGAAGGAAGTAGTGAAGGCTGGCATCGCAGAGTGGGGGAATGATTTTCCCCAAGCAAAGCTCCGGTCCCCAGGTACTTGTAGATGAAAACGGGTAAGTTCAAGTTTTTATATAAGTGGATAGTTTTATTTATGTTTTACAGGTTAAGTGGTAGAGAGGACTTGCAAGTCCTAACTTTGCCTCTCAAATAAAGACATTTTTCGTTTCATTTCATTTCATATGAATGAATCAATGTAATTATTAAATTATGCCGTCATTTATATTTTTACTGATTGAAATGTGATACCTATATGAGGAATATAAATATGCTTGTTCAGAATCAGCTATTTAATTATTAGTCAAAACTTGAATCCAACTCAGCTAGATGTCTGACACCGTCTAGCCTTATATTTATATTTACCTTACCTGTCAAGTCAAGTGAAACATGAAACTACCACAGAGCATAAAGTTGCAGAGTAAACACTCAATGGTACACTTAAGTGGTGTCTAGGGCAAAGTCCAACACTGCCCCTGCTAGGGCTCTTCCTTGCTCATCACAAATATTTCCGGCACAACATACGTAGGACTGAAAGCGCATGGTTGTCCCATAAGGGTGTTTCCACTGTACCTTACTTCTCTGTGAAACTGCTCACATCAATTGTAAATGTAAAAATGTAGTTCTATATGTATTTTTTTTACTTGAGGTTTTATAGTCATAGTTAAGAATCTTTATTTATAAGTAGGCCTATACATAGTTGTACATGAATTACGTCAAAAGCCACTTACCTTGAAAGTGGAGAAAGGACTCAAATTTGGCGGGATATTAGGTATTGGAAAAGCCATTTCAGCAGAAACCAACTCTTTTACCAACAAAAATCCTTCTCCTGCCAGAAAAGAATGATTTTTATAAAAAGTAAGATCAGATTTTTCATAAATAAATCAAACCTGTAGACTTGTTATAGAATAAGTTATCATTAAATATATATCAACCTGTATTTAGGGATGAATGAAATTTTAATTAGGATTTTATAAAATTTGTTATTAAATATCATACTCTAGAGTACGGTACTTATGTAATTTATTTTGGATACTTAAATAGCATTTAAAAACAAAAACTTCAAACTTCATTTTATCTTATTTTATCCTAACTACAACTAATTTTGACATACTGTATTAGGTATTATTGAACTAAAAACAATTTGGAAGGTTGACTGGATGATTTCTATTGAGCCTATAAGTAGCTTTGCTGGTATCAAGAAGGTTTACTGCCACAAAATTTGGATGATTTTAAAATTTTCTTTGATATATATTTCACAAGGGAAGAAATCATAAAACGAAGTTTAAGTACATAAATAATATTTAATTTGTTTGGTACTTTTATACTAAGTATGATTGTCGCTTTTTTAATTATAAAAGACAGAATTTCAATGAAAAAAAAGCAAACATAAGGTACGAGCAAATCAGTAATCAGGCATTTAACTTATTGACTAACTTTTTCTGTGAGAACAAAATTATAAATTAAAATAAAACTTTCTTATACTCACACCCATAATACAGAAATTCCCTCAAATGTTTGGTACCCTATAGCAAATGTCCACAACAAAATATTTTCACCAAATACTGTTATACGTTAATTAATTAATTAAAACAGAAATGTTTAATAACAATAACATACTTGAGCAATAGGTGTATTTAGTCTTACCAGGCATCAACAGCATGAATCTCACAGGTTGGTTTCTCTTTTCATATTTCGCTATAAGGTATTCTTCACTCATCCCAAGTTTACTGCAAACATCTACAAAATACTGAAAATGTGTTTGATTAGTTAAGTAAAGACAAGTCTTAAAATACAACATTGATTGTTCAGTTGTCACTTAATTTGTCGATTGGTTACAAGTTACAATACACCAATAACGTATGGAACTTGAATGGAGTGACAACAGAAATCTTAAATAAACACCAATAGGGACAGTTTGATTAAAGGGGGGTCTACACGCAAGGATTTCGCAAACGTTTTATCTGCGCAGATAAAACGTTGCAGTCAAGTCGTTGCAAAGAAATGCGTCCACACGGTACACGTTTCAGCACCAACTTTTAGTGTAATTTTGTGATAACTTTCAGTGTATGTGCATGTAATAACATGGAAGATGTGTTACTGTGGTCGATTTCTGCAGCCAGTGTTACAAGAAAGCAAAGAAACAAGTCTGAGCGACGACGGCGCTCACTATGGTCAAGACTTTGGTTACTAAAAAGACGATGTTCACGATCGAATCTACTGCTTTGTACTTTTCAAAAGTCTCTAAGTCTTTTTCATATCACAGTCTTTATGTTCCTTACTCTTGACCCTCCATAAATAAGGAAAACTTCTGTACAGTTCTATGAATTCAAAAATAAAATCACGGGGCATTGGCGATCGTCATTAAAAAACACACTTATACCTCTGACAGCACGTGAAGACAACACTGTATACTGGGGTTTTGGGCGTAAAACGGAGTTGAAACGGATGACAGTGTACACACGCAATGACTTTTCTGAAAACGTCAAAACTATGCTCTCCGCAATAGTTTTATCGCTCCGACTTCAGTCTCCGCGCAGTTCTCAAAAATGCACAGTTTTGCGGTACACACGCAACGATTTGACTGCAACAATTTACTTGCGCAGGTAAAACGTACGATAAATCCTTGCGTGTGGACTCGCCTTAAGCAAGGAGTCGTACTTCCGGAGGTCAGTATTGATACGTACTTGTCCAAGGCATTCTTTCTCTAGGTGACTTATGAGAATAAACTTTTAAATTAATGAGAAACAAATATATTAAAGAAAGGAATCCACTCTTTTATTTTGATCATACAAACATGAACACAAACACAGCTTAATATAAAAAGTAAAACATATGATTTTAAGACAATGTACATTTAAACAGTTCAGAGGCAAAATTGTCAATGTTCCAATACTCCTTTCACAATTTTAAAACATGTCACAAAGTCCAATTTTTACTTTAAGCTGTGTAAACCTTACTCGATTGAGAGGTTCAGAGGTTTAGTAAGGATGTCGGCAAGTTGATATGTTGTACATGTTCAACATCAACAAGTCCTTCCAAGATTTGTTCTCTTACAAAGTAGTACTTAACTTTGATATGTTTCGTTCTGCGATGAAACTCGGGGTTCTTTATGAGTTTCACAGCACTGTCATTGTCAATTTTCAGAACAGGTGTCAATTGTGAGTGACAACTTATTTCTTCAAACAGACGTTTCAGCGATATAGCTTCTTTAGCTCCTTCACATGCAGCCACAAACTCTGCTTCTGTCGTAGACAGTGATACAGAACGCTGTTTCTCGCTTCGCCATCTCACTGGACCTCCAGCATAACAACTGATAAACCCAGACGTTGATTTTCGAGTACTTTCCTCTCCAGCAAAATCAGAATCAGTGAAAACATCCAGATTACTGCATGGTGAAGACTTGTACAAGATACCGTCATTTATGGTTCCTCAAAGATATCTAAATATCCTTTTGACACTCAACCAATCCGCTTGAGTAGGATGTTCCATATTCCTCGCAGCCAATCCCACAGCAAAGGAAATATCAGGTCTTGATACACAGCTTAAATGCATCAAGTTTCCAACAGCCTCACGGTATGGAACTTTTCCATTGACAGTCTCCAATGGACCATTGTTTATAGGTCTTTCACATGGTGTAGAATTCGAGTCACTCATACCAAAACGTTGTAATATGCGTTTAGTATAGGCTGATTGACCAATCCATATTCCACTTGAACCTTTCTTGATCTGCAATCCTCAATAACTATCAAGTTCACCAGATTTTATTTTAAAAACTTTGGATAAACTTCTCATGAAGTCATCAATGATGCCATTGTCGGTTCCAGCTACTAATCCATCATCTACATAAATAAGTACAAGTAGCTTCTTACCTTGATGATTTTTATAAAAGAGACAGGGATCCGATTTACTTCTCTTAAGACCTTGAGATTTAAGAAACTTTGCAATGTTTCAAGCTCCAACAACGAGAAGATTGTTTCACACCATATAATGACTTTTGTAGACCCATTACTAACATCTCTGGATCTGAGCAAAATGCTATTGCAGATTGGGACAGAAAAAATGCTTCTGCTAAGTTATACCTGATGTCATCTCTAGGCGATGAACCATCTACACTAGTTTTGACTTGCTCGACTTCTAAAGAAGTTTGGGGTTGTTTAATATCTGTGTATGAACAGTCTAGTGAACAAAGGCTAGATCGTTTGCTAGATGAGTTCTTAGTTCTTTAGGTGGGATCAGGATCCTAATGAGGACATAGCTACCCATGTGGCAAAGCTTCAAAAACATTTTGCCGAATTAAATGATGCACTTGAGAAACAAAAGGAATCAAAGCTTAGTGATAGAGTTTTAATTGCAAGAATTTTATCTACTTTGGGGCCAAGCTTTCGTGAATTCAGAAATGTATGGGAAGCTATGCCATCTAAGGATAGAACAATTAAAACACTAGTTGAAAAGCTTCGTACTATAGAGCAGCGTGATAACGTAGAGTTACTATATATATATATACTTTTGTACCCACCCGGAGTGGCAGTCACTGCGCTGGTAATTTACTCGGTGTGGCAGTCACCCGCCCGAAAGCCAGTCAGCTCTCCCAAAAGCCAGTCAGGTATGGCTTCCCGTGCATTTTATACGTATGAAAACAGCTAACCGGTGCTGCTGCCTGTGTCGATAAGCATAACTGCAATACCAATGCGGAGAGGAGACTGTCACCGTGAGTTCTATCGTGGAGTAGCGTAGCCAAGTACGGCACCCTCCTCGCCTACTTTGTAGCGGTAACACCCAGCGGTCTGTAACCTTCGTTGACTCCTTGTTACTATTTATGTTGGGATAGTGATTAACTACGTGTTAATGTTTAAGCATGTTCATATTCCAAATAACTATGATGCACCTCTAATAAGGAACGTCGAATATTAATTTATTATAAACGGTTGAATCTTGATCCTACCCGTTCATCATCTCATATTGTAAGTTTTGATTATTTTTTTCACCTTCAGTAGAAATTTTAGTCAATTTCTCCTGTATGACGTACAATATTTACAGTGTGTCCACGGACCGGGAAGATTGGGAATTATACGGATTTTTTTTATCTCGGGAAATATACGTGAATCTTGTCCAAGATACGGGAACTGTTGTCCGAAGGAGGAACTAACATCTGATAAGAATAACCACGAAACTACACTCGATACATAAAAAGATTTGTATGATAATTTTAATTTTACAAACTTTTACAGGAATTCTATTTTGGGACGGATGAAAGATAAGGAAGCAACAAAAAGTGGTCAGGAGTGCAAATGCGGGGGGGGGGGGGGTACAATATGACAAACGCCAGAAACGATTATTTGTTTACTTTTCAGATTCCTTATCAAATCTCTCTCTCACCCTCTCTCCCCCTCTCTCCCTCACAGTCCCCCTCTCTCGCACACACACTCTCTCTCTCTAACAATGTACAGTTTGTGGACTTAACTATTTAAGGTTCCCTGCAATTATTTCAGATCCATCCCATACCTATCCTTATGGTTTCCTTTCTATTGTTTTTCAAAATAAATAGTAAAGCTGGTTAAACAATTTTTTTTTCTTGAAACCAAACACTCTTTACCATCACCATCCGGTATTCTGCAGGGTAAAACATTTAACACTGTGTTTATTAAAATTGAATGGCCACACAATTTCGTGTTTTATTTTTTTAAAGTAATAGTAACTTGTATATTTATGCTGCAAGCTGTAATGAATGCTTCTGATTAATATCAAAATAGCTACTTCCCTATAGGGAAATTCGCTAACAAGTTATGAATTAATTTTTGACAATACATCGGTCATTGAACCAACCATAATGTGATGGGGTTTTCTATTTGTAACTTAAACTTGCAAATACAGTAGAACCTCGCTTAACTGGGGTCGGACCAACATGATGCCTATGTAACCCCACAAATCCCAAGAAAAAGCTTTATGAATTGTGTTTTTCAGTCTAATATTTCGATATGAACTATATATTTAACTATTTACGGTAATTTTTATGTGCAGTATGCTCCCAATTATTGAAACATTAAAGTACATTTGACAAAAATAAGATGGAAGCAAAACGGAGAAATATCGATCAGTAGCCTCAAGGTCAAGCTATACGCTCGCACCTACAGACTGACAATCTTGCACTGACACTGACAGACATACTGACAATCGCCTGCTCCTGTCTGCTGTCACAACACTACAACATTTTGTGGTTGGGTCGTTGGGTGATTAGTAACCATGACCACTTGTGGATGGAGAGAACCCAAAGAGAGGATAGAAATCAAATCAAATCAAAACATACTTTATTTCCAAAAATATTGCAGAATATAAATTATAAACATAACTTCCAGTGAACAGACACCTTACTTGCTATTGCATAGATAAAAATAATTAAATATAAAAATACTTACCTTACCTCCTTGGCCACTCAAACCTAAGAAGGTTTTTGGCCTCGCCAACAAGTTGCCTCCACTGCTGCCGATCTGCCGCCATGTCAAGAGATGCCCCCACTCTGCGTAGGTCCTTCTGGACTTGGTCTCTCCATCTCAACTTCGGTCTTCCTAGCGGGCGAGTGCCTCGTGGTTGTCCATTGGCGATCTTCTTAAGCATACTTTCTTCTTCCCTTCTTTCTACATGGCCTGCCCATCTCAGTCGTCTACTCTTCACTATGGCTACAATGTCCGGTTCTTTGTACAGTTCACGGAGCTCTCGGTTTTTTCTTATTCGCCACATACCTTCTTCATT